CTCTGTTGTATCCGTCCGGCGCTCCACTCGGCGTTGTGAATAAACACAAAGATCCCTCGTATGGCTTGTGCCAGGCTGTTGCGGCCAGTGCTGTTAGCGAGCACCTATTAAGGCCGGCACGCAGCACACAAGGGGGTGGGTGTCCAGAAATATGCCAGGCCGCCTTTACATCCCAAGTAGCGATGTTTACACACCGCGCCAGGTACTCATTTGAGACTGCGTCGGCCTAGGGAAGTCCCAGGAGCGATGAAGATGATCGTCACTGGTGTTGGCCGTGAGTGTGAATCGAACCCGGGTCACCCGGTTTGTTATGCAGCGCGGTAACCACTGCGCCACCGCTCCCCGCCTATATTTAAGGCTGGAAACATACACACATGCGGGGTGCTGGATACATTGGAAATGCCCAAATCCTCAACATATGTGAGAACAGTAGTGGCACGTGCGTGTGTGTGTGTGGATCAATAGCCGACTCCGCCAGCAACTCTCTCTCTCTTGGCATTAGCGTCACACTCAGCAGGAAGCCACCGAGCTGGGTCACCGCTGGTGGTGATCAACGTGACGGGTCCAGCAAGAGACTTGGGTCGGAGATGCACAGCGCCTGGGAACCGACCCTGCGCTCTGAGCGAAACCGAACGCTCTACTGGTTGTGAAAACAATTGTTGTCAGACGTTTCGAGTGTTAAGCTTCGAGTCAGCGACGCACATGTACAGCCCTTTGTCAACCTACACTGCAGGACGATGGCCTCAGCACAATGTGGTAGTAACAGGGAGATATTTAACCTCAGCACAATGTGTGGTAGTAACAGGGAGATATTTAACCTCAGCACACTGTGTGGTAGTAACAGGGAGATATTTAACCTCAGCACAATGTGTGGTAGTAACAGGGAGATATTTAACCTCAGCACACTGTGTGGTAGTAACAGGGAGATATTTAACCTCAGCACAATGTGTGGTAGTAACAGGGAGATATTTAACCTCAGCACACTGTGTGGTAGTAACAGGGAGATATTTAACCTCAGCACAATGTGTGGTAGTAACAGGGAGATATTTAACCTCAGCACACTGTGTGGTAGTAACAGGGAGATATTTAACCTCAGCACACTGTGTGGTAGTAACAGGGAGATATTTAACCTCAGCACACTGTGTGGTAGTAACAGGGAGATATTAACCTCAGCACACTGTGTGGTAGTAACAGGGAGATATTTAACCTCAGCACAATGTGTGGTAGTAACAGGGAGATATTTAACCTCAGCACACTGTGTGGTAGTAACAGGGAGATATTTAACCTCAGCACACTGTGTGGTAGTAACAGGGAGATATTTAACCTCAGCACACTGTGTGGTAGTAACAGGGAGATATTTAACCTCAGCACACTGTGTGGTAGTAACAGGGAGATATTTAACCTCAGCACACTGTGTGGTAGTAACAGGGAGATATTTAACCTCAGCACACTGTGTGGTAGTAACAGGGAGATATTTAACCTCAGCACACTGTGTGGTAGTAACAGGGAGATATTTAACCTCAGCACAATGTGTGGTAGTAACAGGGAGATATTTAACCTCAGCACACTGTGTGGTAGTAACAGGGAGATATTTAACCTCAGCACACTCTGTGGTAGTAACAGGGAGATATTTAACCTCAGCACACTGTGGTAGTAACAGGGAGATATTTAACCTCAGCACACTGTGGTAGTAACAGGGAGATATTTAACTCCACTCGCCACGCTGCTCAGTGCGGCTTGGTGAAGCCGGGGAGTAATGATAAGTGCGAGAGTCGGACTCGAGTTCAGCACTGCCCCCCCCCCCCCTCTACTGCCAAAACTTCAGCTCTCGAGCCCTCCGAGAACATCATCAGTTTACATCGGTCACTCTCCAAGTCACGGTCGTTAATAGGCGTCCTGTGTGCACAGCGGCGGCACGCGCCTGCGCTTCATCATCGCGAGTGGCAGCGGCGATAACTCACGAGTCGCATCCACCTCGCCGAGGTGGCGCTCAGCGGGGCCGCGGCTCGCCCTGCTCGACCGCTCGCCGGCAGATCGTCCATCACCCCCCCCCCCGCGCCCCCAATCAATAGCCGACGACTCATTAGCAGCGGCGCGCCTGCGTGTGGCGTGCTCACGGCGCCTGCGTGTGGCGTGCTCACGGCGCCTGCGTGTGGCGTGCTCACGGCGCCTGCTCGGCTGGGCTGCTGGATGACCCTCGCCGCCCCCCCCCCCCCATTTATTCCCACCCCCGACCCTCATCGTGATCATCAGCCATGGTCAATCGATTGCTGGATGATGGCCGAACCCTAACCCCCTCCCAAGCTGCCACCACCACCGTGACTCCGATGAGACTCCAGAACACCCCTTCGCTAAAGCCCTCCGCATGGGAGCCGGGGGCTGATGTTGTTTTCTCCACTGGTAGATTTAAACGATAGCAGCTGGCACGTGACTCTGTAGCCACAGTTAATAGCGAGTTGTATACTAGATGCGGTGTGCCGGGTGCGGATAACGAAACAAAACTCCGGATCAATGAACTAAGCCCTGAGTGTGTCACCACAAGACTTGTTACAGTGCGCGAAACCACGCATGGACACGAGAGGGTGATCGTGAACTCCCCATGGTGAACGTGAACCCCCCATGGTGATCGTGAACTCCCCATGGTGAACGTGAACTCCCCATGGTGATCGTGAACTCCCCATGGTGAACGTGACCTCTCCATGGTGAACGTGAACTCCCCCATGGTGAACGTGAACTCCCCCATGGTGAACGTGAACCCCCCATGGTGAACGTGAACCCCCCATGGTGATCGTGAACTCCGCATGGTGAACGTGAACTCCCCATGGTGATCGTGAACTCCCCATGGTGAACGTGACCTCTCCATGGTGAACGTGAACTCCCCCATGGTGAACGTGAACTCCCCCATGGTGAACGTGAACCCCCCATGGTGAACGTGAACCCCCCATGGTGATCGTGAACTCCCCATGGTGAACGTGAACTCCCCATGGTGAACGTGAACTCCCCATGGTGAACGTGAACCCCCCATGGTGATCGTGAACTCCCCATGGTGAACGTGAACTCCCCATAGTGAACGTGAACTCCCCATGGTGAACGTGAACCCCCCATGGTGAACGTGAACCCCCCATGGTGAACGTGAACCCCCCATGGTGATCGTGAACTCCCTCTGGTGAACGTGAACTCCCCCTGGTGAACGTGAACTCCCCATGGTGAACGTGAACTCCCCATGGTGAACGTGAACTCCCCATGGTGAACGTGAACTCCCCATAGTGAACGTGAACTCCCCATGGTGAACGTGAACCCCCCATGGTGAACGTGAACTCCCCATGGTGAACGTGAACTCCCCATGGTGAACGTGAACTCCCCATGGTGAACGTGAACCCCCCATGGTGAACGTGACCTCTCCATGGTGAACGTGAACTCCCCATGGTGAACGTGAACCCCCCATGGTGAACGTGAACTCCCCATGGTGAACGTGAACCCCCCATGGTGAACGTGACCTCTCCATGGTGAACGTGAACTCCCCATGGTGAACGTGAACTCCCCATGGTGAACGTGAACTCCCCATGGTGAACGTGTGTAGGCTGTGTGTAGACTGTGTGTAGGCTGTGTGTGGGCTGTGTGTGGGCTGTGTGTAGACTGTGTGTGTAGGATGTGTGTGAGCTGTATGTAGACTGTGTGTAGGCTGTGTGTAGGCTGTGTGTGTAGGCTGTGTGTAGACTATGTGTAGGCTGTGTGTGTAGGCTGTGTGTAGACTGTGTGTAGGCTGTGTGTGTAGGCTGTGTGTGTGGGCTGTGTGTAGGCTGTGTGTGGGCTGTGTGTGTAGGCTGTGTGTAGACTGTGTGTAGGCTGTGTGTGTAGGCTGTGTGTGTAGGCTGTGTGTAGGCTGTGTGTGGGCTGTGTGTAGGCTGTGTGTAGGCTGTGTGTGTAGGCTGTGTGTAGGCTGTGTGTAGGCTGTATGTAGACTGTGTGTAGGCTGTGTGTAGACTGTGTGTAGGCTGTGTGTGTAGGCTGTGTGTGTAGACTGTGTGTAGGCTGTGTGTAGGCTGTGTGTAGACTGTGTGTAGGCTGTGTGTGTAGGCTGTGTGTAGGCTGTGTGTGTAGGCTGTGTGTGTGGGCTGTGTGTAGGCTGTGTGTGGGCTGTGTGTGTAGGCTGTGTGTAGACTGTGTGTAGGCTGTCTGTGTAGGCTGTGTGTGTAGGCTGTGTGTAGGCTGTGTGTGGGCTGTGTGTAGGCTGTGTGTAGGCTGTGTGTGTAGGCTGTGTGTAGGCTGTGTGTAGGCTGTATGTAGACTGTGTGTAGGCTGTGTGTAGACTGTGTGTAGGCTGTGTGTGTAGGCTGTGTGTGTAGACTGTGTGTAGGCTGTGTGTAGGCTGTGTGTAGGCTGTGTGTGTAGACTGTGTGTAGGCTGTGTGTAGACTGTGTGTAGACTGTGTGTAGGCTGTGTGTGGGCTGTGTGTAGGCTGTGTGTAGGCTGTGTGTAGACTGTGTGTAGACTGTGTGTAGGCTGTGTGTAGGCTGTGTGTAGACTGTGTGTAGGCTGTGTGTGTAGACTGTGTGTAGACTGTGTGTAGGCTGTGTGTAGACTGTGTGTAGACTGTGTGTAGGCTGTGTGTAGACTGTGTGTAGGCTGTGTGTAGACTGTGTGTAGACTGTGTGTAGGCTGTGTGTGGGCTGTGTGTAAAGCAGTAAAAGTTTGTTTAACATCGACTGCCTCGTGCCCCCCCCCCCCCCCACGAGCCCTTTAAAAGCGCGTCAGTGTCACGCTGCGGAGCCTGCAACACCACGCTCCGATATCGCGTCAAGTTTCCGTGTGCGCATTACGCATTGACTCGAGGTGCGCCTCGAGTCCGTACACTTTGATGATGGTGATGGTGGTGATGGTGATGATGGTGATGATGGTGATGATGGTGGTGCTGATGATGGTGATGGTGGTGATGGTGGTGATGGTGATGATGGTGATGATGGTGGTGCTGATGACATTATGTATTCCGCCCTGTTTACCTCCCGCAGAAGTGAGCGCCAACACAACGGCCAGGAGCAGCAAGCGCCTCTTCATCGTCAGCCGGTTCCGATCGCCAACTCAGCACGAGGTTCTCCTGCACGGCGAGAGACGCGCGACTTCGCTGGACCACGAAGCGCGAGAGCCACGGGGGGGGGGGAGGGGGGTGAGGCTGCGTGGCCGTGCCGCCTGGGTCGCCTTGACGCCTCCTCGCTCTCGCTTCCTCGCCCGCAGACTCCGGCAGCCTCCGAGCGAACACTCACAACGAGTGGCGGGGCGCTTCCTGCTGCTGCTGCTGAGCTGATCTGCCACCCGCCCCTGTTCACGTCCCGTCCCAGCGCCGCCTCTGTCTGCCCGAGCTGACACGGGGCTGGAGTTTTCAGCTTTGGATCCCACCAGCTCCGCCTCTCCCTCCCTCTCTCGCTCTCTCTCTCTTTGCATTTCACGCCGCCACTTGAGTCATCAAGCGCGTCCCTGCGCCAGCGTCGCCGAGTCCGTGGGCGCTGCTGCTGGGGGCGCAGGCGCCGCGAGTCGCTACTCCGTGGCGAGGACTCCTGCGACCCAGGGACTCGGCCTCCCGAGCGGAGCAGACGTGGGACACGGGCCCAGGGAGGGTCCACGAGAGAGAGGGAGACAGCAGAGAGGGAGCAGACGAGGCGGCGCAATACCCTCAAGGGACTCGTGATTTCTTTCAATGGAGAGGAGCAAATCGGTGCTCACCGAAGCCGTGCGATGTGAAGAGCCGCTCCCTGTGGAGGGGTTGGGGGTGATGCACCGAGACACGCGGTGGGGGTGGCGCGTGGCGGTGGCAGTGGCGGCGTCGGCTCTCTCCTCGCTGCGGTCGACACGCCGCGCTCCACGTGGCCAGGCGATGGAGCGTGGACGCGACACCGCGAGGCAGATTAGAGGCGCGGTGCGACGCTGATGTCGAGCAATTACAGACGCGAGAAGAAGCGCTCTCCCACGAGATCCCGGCAGTGACATGGGCAGCGAGAGAAGAGAGAGAGAGACGGAGAGACAACGCGAGAGAGAAGAGAGAGAGAGAAGTGCTGGGCAGGAGTTGGGGCAGCGGTGGCGGGGAGGGATGGAGCGGACCCCTCGCCCGTGCTGCTCGGATAGCCCTCCAGCCCGGGCACCAGTCCGCGAACCCAACCAGCGCATACACGCGTTATGTTTCATTAACCACATCAACAACAACAACACGAACTATAATGTACACACGTGTTTACATTTACACGTGTGGTTGTGGCTATGCACGTTTAAAAACCAGCATTCTGGAGGCGACAGTTGGTGGATTACCGCACAATTGTCGTGAAACTCCCTCCCCTTGGGCGTGGAGAATTTGCTATACGCTGTCTCGCCAGGAGACGGCAGTGTGGCACCTGGACTAATCACCATCTGTTTCCATCTGTGCAGGGATAAAGCGTTGCGCCCTCGCACGCGTGGATTTTCTCTAGAGATGCCTCTCGTACCCCCTACAGGTGTCTCGCGTAGCCCCAGCGGCTCGCTTAGCCCGGGTGGGGAGGCCCGACTCCAGCAGCGTGCCGTGTCGCGGTCTCGCTGTGCCTGCCCACGCTGCCGCCGTTGTTTGCATTTACACGCCCAGAGAGGGGGCATTTTCCACGCTCTCAGCAAGAAATGTGAACACGTGAACGTCTCAATAATTTCATTTCAGAAGCAAACCATTAGCGCGTCTTAAATAATTCACCGACTATTTTTCTCATCAGAGTGAGAAATGATTTCAACTCTTTTTGGTGCGTGTGTATGTGTTTGCGTCTCTGTGTATGTCGGTGTGTGTGCGACTTTGTGCATGTCGATGTGTGTGTGCGACTTTGTGTATGTCGGTGTGTGCGACTTTGTGTATGTCGGTGTGTGTGTGTGCGACTTTGTGTATGTCGGTGTGTGTGCGACTTTGTCTATGTCGGTGTGTGTGCGACTTTGTGCATGTCGATGTGTGTGCGACTCTGTGTATGTCGGTGTGTGTGCGTCTCTGTGTATGTCGGTGTGTGTGTGTGTGCGACTCTGTGTATGTCGGTGTGTGTGCGACTTTGTGTATGTCGGTGTGTGTGTGTGCGACTCTGTGTATGTCGGTGTGTGTGCGACTCTGTGTATGTCGGTGTGTGTGCGTCTCTGTGTATGTCGGTGTGTGTGTGTGCGACTCTGTGTATGTCGGTGTGTGTGCGACTTTGTGTATGTCGGTGTGTGTGTGTGCGACTCTGTGTATGTCGGTGTGTGTGTGTCTGCGACTCTGTGTATGTCGGTGTGTGTGCGACTCTGTGTATGTCGGTGTGTGTGCGACTTTGTGTATGTCGGTGTGTGTGTGTGTGCGACTCTGTGTATGTCGGTGTGTGTGCGACTCTGTGTATGTCGGTGTGTGTGCGACTTTGTGTATGTCGGTGTGTGTGTGTGTGCGACTCTGTGTATGTCGGTGTGTGTGTGTGTGCGACTCTGTGTATGTCGGTGTGTGTGTGTGCGACTTTGTGTATGTCGGTGTGTGTGCGACTCTGTGTATGTCGGTGTGTGTGCGACTTTGTGTATGTCGGTGTGTGTGTGTGTGCGAATCTGTGTATGTCGGTGTGTGTGTGTGTGCGAATCTGTGTATGTCGGTGTGTGTGTGTGAGCGACTTTGTGTATGTCGGTGTGTGTGCAACTCTGTGTATGTCGGTGTGTGTGCGACTTTGTGTATGTCGGTGTGTGTGTGTGTGCGACTCTGTGTATGTCGGTGTGTGTGTGTGTGCGTCTCTGTGTATGTCGGTGTGTGTGTGTGTGTGCGACTCTGTGTATGTCGGTGTGTGTGCGACTCTGTGCATGTCGGTGTGTGTGCGACTCTGTGTATGTCGGTGTGTGTGTGTGTGCGACTCTGTGTATGTCGGTGTGTGTGTGTGCGACTTTGTGCATGTCGGTGTGTGTGCGACTCTGTGTATGTCGGTGTGTGTGTGTGCGACTTTGTGCATGTCGGTGTGTGTGCGACTCTGTATATGTCGGTGTGTGTGTGTGTGCAACTCTGTGTATGTCGGTGTGTGTGTGTGCGACTGTGTATGTCGGTGTGTGTGTGTGTGTGACTCTGGCACAGTAGAGGGCACAGGTGGTGCATCAGCCAGTCATCTCGGTCATCTCGGTCAGTCGACCCTTGGCATCTGGGTCTGCCCCGTGACCTCCTGCCAGCGGGCGTTCGACACTTCACATGGCCTCAAGGTGCACATGGCCTGGCACAAGCGCCGTGGCGACGTCACCGCCACTTAGTGGCGAATGGCGGTTGTTGTTGTTGTATGTCGGTGTGTGTTTGTGCGTTCACACAAAACACGAAACGCGCGTGATATTCAGCTTTCGCTGTAATTAATCACAGGGGCGGTAAATGCCACGTGTATTGAGATCTCTTAAAGCCACGTCCAAATACGGAGAAAAATACGTTTTCGCGTGCGTATAACCACCGTGCATACACTGCCATTCACAGCACGATAAATGCAAGGCTGTTGAAATGACACCGCGACCTTTGCGCCCGTAAGCAAATGTGCGGCGCGCACCTGATCCCTCAAGACTCGAGCGTCGCTGCCATTTGCTTCCCGAGGGCTTGGGCCACGTTTCAACCCCCGCCAGCTACCGCCGCGGCACCAATCTCCGCTAGTCTGGCGCGGGGCCTGCCGGTGGTGCCCTCCTCTCAGACGCGTCAAACACAGCTCGCAAAAAAGCACGGCGTTTACCGAGACACGGAAAGTGCGCAACGAAGTGTGTGGTGAGGCAGGCGTGGAATTGTAATGACAGACGGAGAGAGAGTGGACACACGCATGTTTATGTCATTGTTCAAGCTGTTAAGTAAAGTACGTGGGGCTGGGAAGGACAAGTCGTGGCTAGAAGGTTTGGTGACCGATGGTCAAGAATGCGAATGCAGTGGCCGCCAAGGAACGGGACGCATTCGCGAGCTCGTCCCCCACAGAGAGTGGGTTAGTCTGCATGCAGGTGCCGCGTTGAATTGTGACATCGCAGGATGGCGAAACATGGCAGCGGCTTGAAGGAGATCTCTATCCAGAAGTAGATTTATCATGACGAATTGTGATGGATGTGTTTTCTCACCGCACTCTGGCTTCCTCCCAGAAGACACGAATAAAAAAGCCCCCCTCAAAAGTACATTTGCCAAACATCCCAGGCAGGGGTTTCGCGAGCAGTCTTGAAGTGTCTGGACTGCCTTCTTTGACTGGGATTTCAAACTGGGCGCTTAGTAAGCTGCGAAGTGTGATTGAGACGATGCGTCACCGTCACGAGACAGCTGGGGAACAGTCACAGAGACATTCACGTGCCCAGGAACACACAGCGTGTCGAGGGAGTACTCAGCCTCGAGTGTAAAACAACGCACTGCAGCAGATATGCCAGCAACGTTGATTCGTGCAGAGAAAGCCTCAAAACGAGTCTCAGGTCTCTTATTCAGGAAGCTCCTGCTTCAGGAGTGCCACGAGAACCGTCGATGTGCCCGCGTTGGTGCGCACACACAGCTCGTGATGTCAATGGGCCTGCCAGGTGAGTGTGACAATGAAACCGGTCCCACCCTCGACAGGTGCTAGCTCGGCAGAGGACGCGTCGCGCTGCCGACAATGCAGCGGCGGGAGAGACAGCCTCTTCATCCAGCAGTGGAGAGATTATGGCCGATGATATTGACGTCGGAGAAGGCGGGTGTCAACACGTGGTTTTATATATATAGAAAATACGTGTTGTTATAAATGTAAAAATATATGACTCGTAATATCACGTGTCGCCTTCTCAGACCGACTCGAATCAAAAGGAGCACTTTCAAAAGCAGGGCCAAACTACGTCTTGGTCATTTCCTTTTTTAAAGCAATTAAAATAACGAACTTCCGTTTCGTATCTGCAGCGTTGAGTCCATCAGCCTGTCGGCCTTGCACTCTCACGTGTCTAAGCACACGACCTCTCCCACCGCTTTCGTCATTCTGCGCATCATCAGCTGAACAAACACTGTTGCCGACTGAGCAGATGTTCGCGCTCATAAGTGGCCTCTCTCGTGTGCAAGGAGCGCTCTGCTTCCCACGTGAGCAATGGGATACAGAGCGAGACGCGCCCGCCGCTCTGAGCACTCCTTGCTTTCTACAAAGTTGGCCAGGGGCCTTGGGCGAGCCCCCCCCCTCCCCCCGTGCTGAGGAGTGCGTGAGAGCGGCTCTCCCCAAACATCCGGAGCGGTGATGAGTATCCGCGATGCTTGGGTGCAAAGATAACGTGTTGTCTAAGTAATAATAATAGAGGGATACATAAATAACGCGGCAACCCAGGGCAGTGGCTGGCTGCAATGCGCGTCTTCCCTCTGGTGGAACTCGCGGCGCTGCGCATTGAAATCCGCGGAGCGCAGTGACGAGGGCTGCCCGCGTCTCGAGCACAGAGCAGACAGCTCGCTCGTCGGTAACCACCAGAGGTGGCATCACTTTGAGTGACTCCGATTTCTTTGTGCGGCCAATGCGAGTGAAACATGTGATCACCACTTGAAAGGAGAGGGAGTTATCAAGTCCAGTGACGCACTCAATCGTCGCATTAATAACTCGGCCCAACGAGGCGCGCGCTACCCGAGGTGGTCACGACATTTGTTCTGGCCCATGGACTCTGAGGGCACTGGTCGTGGCCTTCGAGTGTGGAAGCGGTGCACCTGCACCGGGGCACGCGCTGAGCTGAAGAGGGGATCCATCACCCCATGGAATTACCTGCACCGGGGCCCGTGCCAACCGCGACACGAAGACTCACACAGAGACCCACAGACTCACACAGAGACCCATAGACTCGCATAGAGACCCATAAACTCACATAGAGAACCGTAGACTCACACAGAGACCCACAGATTCACACAGAGACCCGTAGACTCACATAGAGACCCATAAACTCACATAGAGACCCATAGACTCACACAGAGATCCATAGACTCACACAGAGACCCACAGACTCACACAGAGATCCATAGACTCACATAAAGACGCATACACTCACAGTGAGACCAATAGACGCACACAGAGATCTATAG